TCCACAGACAACTGTCTTTCAAACCAAGACAAACACATTGCTGCTTTCCTGTTCCGAGTGAAATGCATTCCACTCACTCCAGGGCAAGCAGGATCCTAAGTCAGGATTCCGTGACAAGTGATTTAAGTGAAACTAACAACTCTACTCTCTTTTGCGACACTGGTGGATGGCTAATCGCTTTTATTCTTCTTCCAACATTCCCTACCCAAAATTTTTTTTAACAGACTTACCTGATAATGTCATCTATAAAGTAAAGGTCAAAACAACAGAAAACAAATTCAGACTATTTCTGAATAAAGCATCAGATTCCAGCATCAATCCCATTTTGCTTTCCAATTTTACCCCAAATAACTTCTGAAAACCCTTCAGTCTACACTTCACTTCTCAACAATGAAAAAGTGGAAAAATTATTCTAGGTGGATTAAAATAAATTCTCTATGTTCTCAAGCATGCTGATAACAATAAATCATGACAACGTATGCTCCAGGCAAAGTTAGATTTACAAATAGCACCCAGGTTGCAGACAGCTGTTCAGTGCTAAATATTGAAGAAAATGGAACACCTACAACTAGCTAGAAAACCAGATTTTTGTCACATTAATCATAAGAACAAATACAAAAACTGGGGTCACTTTTTTATTAATTTAACTTGGTATTTATCTCAATTTAGCTTACATCACTTGCAGTTGTTTTAGCTACATTGTGTGTACTCTACAATGAAGGCTTTGGAAGCTGCTAATCCCAACACAGATCTTCAAGACTCTTAAAAAAAAAACCAAAAAACAAACTCGTGTTTTGAGTTTCTGCCTTCAGTTCTATTGCCCTGCTGCTGTCTTGAACGACTAGTACCACCTCCAAAACAGCTGAACAACTCTGCTTGAAGAGCTAGCAGTCAAGACGTTAACCTTGACAATAAAACAAACTTCCTAAAGTTGCAGCTGTAACATTAACTTCTCAAAATCAGTGGTTTAGGCTGCTACCTTTTTACAAACTTTAATCTAATGTGTTCGTTCACACCAGAAAATTAGTCTGGCATGTGCCAGCTACAGTGTGTAGGTGTGTACCAGAAATGTTCTTTATTTTGAAACGTTGTGAATTCTTTCTTGTTTCAATGGAATTGCAGATTTACTGAACAACATCCTCCCTCCTTTTCCAATGTCATCGCTGCACAAGAGATTCTTCCCTAGGTCTGTCACCAAGATCCACAGTTCTTAACAGCATCGTTCCAGGACTGGAATAGACTGGTCTTGGGATACTTAAGATGTGGCTAAAGCATTATGGATATTTTAGTTTGGTGTCAAGACACTGTTGGTAAAGCTTCATTCTTAAAGAAAAGTAGGCTCCTAAATAAAGACTTGCCTGGGCAGTCAGAATATATGAACAATAAGAAAAAAAAAAAAAAAAAAGAGATAAAGTCTTAAGGTACTAGGAATGACTTTAAAAAAAAAAGAAAATCTATGTCCTTTACAGTTTTTCTATGTAGAAAAAAAAATTCCTAAGCTTATGGAAAAAACCCAAACAGGTTTGCAAACCCAGAAGGCAAACAGATAGCTAGTGCTAAACCTAACTAAAAAACGCTAAGTGAGATTTTTAAGTGACAAGGATGTGTTACTAGTGCTTTCGCAGGCAGGCTGCAAACTCCTGCAGCAGTGCCACCTCAAGGTCTTGGCTTCTTCCAAGGTGCCCATCTGCCAGCGGAGTCCCCACACCCTCCCAGTGCCACGCAGACCCTACACATAACTACCCAGAGAGTCTGAGCTGCGGCACAGGCACCAGCACACTGGCTGCTCTGCTCTGCAGCTGGTCTCCTGGCTGCAAACCAGACTCGCTGCACACACGCAATGTGGATGCACACACGCACACATGTTGAGTCACTTTTTTGCCCTGGGGCAAAATAAGCTTTAAAATGAAGAGAATTGTCTTAGATGTCACAGAAGTGTATAAGGGCATCGTACAATGCTGTAAATCTAAGTTTCTGTACTCCTTCGTTTCTATAAAAGTACTCTGAGTAATTTTTTTTTCATCTTCAGTCTAACTGCTTAAAAGAGCCTACAGCACCCTGTAAAAATCTACAATGCATTTTAATCCAGTCTCCCTAGCCAACAAGCCAATTTGCATAAAAATGATGAAATCTGTTATGTAGAACACATTGACAAATGCCTAAATTCCTGTATATGTTTAATGGCTGAAATCTGGATTCTGTTTTTCAGACAACTGTGATTTTTCTAATTTTACAAAACTCCAGTCACCATCCATTTGTCCCAAACACTTCTCCAGAATTTAGTTTTACATAGATGCTAAACTCCTAGGGTTCTAGTCTTTCCTTGACAAGGGATGTCTGGAAGATACAGCAAACACACAAGTTGTTTAAGGACAAGATTAAAAAAAAAAAAAAAGTATTAAAAAACTTATCTCCGATTAAAACAAGTACTGAAGCACCCAATTACCTTTAGAAAGCTGACCCTGTATCTAAAAGAGCCTCTTCTTTTTTGTCCCTACCCCAAAAGTACAGAAACCCAAATACGAATATTTGTACCTGATGTTAAGTGTTTCCAGATTTTGAATTTGAGAAGCAATAGCTGTTACTGTCTCCCAAGATGATATCAGATTTTTTGACAGATTCATATGCCTGATATCTGACATTTCTCATAAAGAAAATAAACTTATCTCAAATCTGAACTTCCTTTTTCAGAAATTAGAATTAGGGTTTGTTTTTGAATCAAACAGAAATAGATTATACTTGTTTGGGCTGAGAGATACACTACAGCCCAGTTACCGCAAATTTTATTTTGATTTATAGTATGGAAATGGCTTATAGTTTTATAAAATAGCTTAACTTTACAAACCCTAAAATGGATTAATTTCTGTATTGACAGGAACTCTTACCAGTCCTTATCAATGAACAAATAATACCTGCTCTGTATTTCTGTAACATCACTACAACACACAGTTTATTGAATACATTATTTATTATGTATTGGAAACCTCTGGTGCCTACAGAACACATCAGTTCTATTTTTACGGGGTTATCTATTCTAGAGGTATTTTTTTTAAAAAGCCCCATTACTGGAGACTTCTGGTATTGCAGTCATAGTAGCAACCTATGACAACATTTCTATTTTTATCCACAATTTGCATTCCCTCTCAAAAATTGTAGGCATCTGCTTTTTAACTGTGTAAACATTGCATTAAGCTTCTACATATAAACTGCAGTTTTAAACATTTTTTCAATAACAGGATACAAGTATCACTCATTGAAGTGAACACCTGGAATGCTAAAATATGTACTTTACTTGTGGTATCATGCAATATAGCAAAAAAAAGGATACTAGCACATGTTCTGCTGATTTCCCCTTTCTGACCAGCACGGCTCACTGCACACCCACGCACTGAGATATCCACCAGTTGGTTCAGTTGGCTAAATGAGAAAGAACATTCAGTTAAGTAACCTGCAAACAGAAATAGGTACGTTATCAAAACACCTGGTTCTTACAACTAAATAATACCCTTTTCATACATATGATCTCCTTTAGAATTAGAAACGTGCAGCTTGCTACACTGCAGTGTCTGTTTTCAAGTAAAAACATCTCCTCTATTTTTTGCCTTTACATTGCTACTACAATATATGTCTGGTTGAACCACAACCCCCACGCCCCAAAAAACCCCAGCCAACCCTCATCCAAATGAAAAAGAGAGAGATAAACCAGACAAAATATAGCTATGCAAATTGAAATTTAGCTAGAGGGTCAAAGTGAAACAGGTTTCTGGTAACTTTGTGCAAGAGGTCCTAAGTTATCTGGGCATTCACAGAATCACTTATCCAAAAAAAAAAGGGGGTGCGAAAAAGGGGGGGGGGGGAAAGGGAAAAAAAAAAAAAAAAAAAAAAAAAAGAAGAGTATTTTCAACCGCTTAGTATGTTCTGGAAGACAAAGGGAGAATAGTTGTGGAATACCAGCTCAGAAGGAGACTGCCACCTGCTGATCTGATGCCTCTCTACTGCTGGAAGTCACTAAAACTGCAATCTATTCCACATCATTAAGTTACTTCCTTTCTTACCCTTCCGGATAAACAAACATGACACGAACTGACTGAAACACCTCTTCACTAGCAGCACAGTGACTTTCTGCTTTCCCTTTCTCAGTTACAAGGTCGTTACTGATAGGAGTAAACAAAGATGAAATAATACTGTACGACATTAAGAAAATACTAAAATGCATCTGTTAAAAAAGGACCATGCATGTGTATAACGATTCCAAATATCATGATAATTTATCTCATTTGTTCCTCCCCGATTATCATCACCGTCTACTTTCTGAAATCAAAATGAGGATTGTGAGTGCTCAAACATGACATAATTCCAGTTCCTACCCATAAAACAGGTAAATTATGAAGCCACAATAGGAAGATTTCTTGTCTCTTCCTCCACTGTGCAGTTTGGCTTACTTTTAGATATGTCAGTATCATGGGCAAGGCAGCCAGCTTCCTTTCCTTACAGCTGAACTACTACTTGACTCAGGAATCGCTAAGAGTGTATCTTAGATTTTCATACATTACACTTGCCTTTGTTGTTCTGCAATAGAATCCATGCCAACAAATTCCACAGTCTTCTTTCCTACTACTAATGTGTTCTCTGTCCCATGTTGAACGTCTTGCTCACCACTCAATCCGTACCGATCCTTTATCGCAGTAAGAAAATCAAGTCCAAAATTTGCCTTGTTTGGCCGGATAAACGATCCTCCTCTAGGATGCCTAGGACAGAGCAGCCAGGAAAAGGTGAAACATGAAAGTTATCATAAGAATGACTAGTTCAAAAGTATTAATTATTAATTTTTTAAAATACTGGGAACCAAAGCAGTCAAGAGGCAATTCTACAGGCTAACTTTAGGTATTACCATTCCCACTTGGTGAGAACAGGTAAGACTTGCAACGTATCTTTGATAGTATTTGACCCAACAAGCTCACATTGTGAGATGCCACAAGAACTGAAGCACCAGATCTCCAAATGTACTCACACATCAAAATTACAATGTCCGTGCCGTTATTAGAAATGCTCTGTTATTTCCAAACTCATTATGAACTCAGTTTTTCCAGAAAATTAAGTTTCTACCTATGGATAGACACAAAGTTACCCAAATCATACAACAAACGTGTCTGGAGTCTTACCCCAGTCTAAGGCCCATAGGAATACTCAGAATAGTCATCGCCTCATTATAATTGACTTGGATAATTCACCTGTAATTAAGAGAACGCAGCATTGCCCTTCCATCCACACAAATGACACAAGATGCAAATTGGAACTCTCATACAAATTCGAACTTTTAAAAATTCTGATACTAACTCGGTATCAATTTTGAAACTGAATATTCAACAGCATTATCCAGCTAATGCATTTTCTACACAGTCCTATGAAGTTTCTTAGTTTTTCACTGAAAAAAACTTTATTGCATGACAATTTCTTGCCATGCAATTGCTTTGACAATTTCTATTAAAGTTAGCAAGGAAACAGTAGGAAGAACTGGCAGAGACAAGTTGTGGGAACGGTATCATGGAGCAGATGGAGGATCTGATAGGAGGATCAGTCAGAAAGCAGCAGGGAGAAAATTGGTAGTTATGATTACCTGTCTGCTTTCCAGCTGAGAAGAGTACAGACTTTGGTTGGAAAGTACCCAGGAGAAAGAAATCACTTAAGTAAATAAAACTCCTCTTTTCAAAACAGCATGTAAACGTCAAGTGGCTAATTAGCAAACCACAATATACACCACCAATGCTACAGGGCCCCAAATTCTCTCAAAAAAACACTAACTAGAGCCCTCGAATCCTATGGACTTCTTACAAGTCGAAGAAATAGCTTGGGCATCATATATTCACATTTTTATAAAAAAATCGGTACTGGAAATTGCCTGTGCCAGTTTCATTCATTAAGATTTGTAATACATATTTAAGTACTCTCATACCCTACAGAAGGATTCAGGTACAAACTAGGTATTATTTACTCAAAAAATATTTCCAGTCTAGTTTTGTAGTGACTAAGTTCAGAGCACAATGATTACAAAACAAGCAGAAAGGCATGCTCTTAGAGAATGTAAATCCAGTGTGTACTTTCATGTTCGATAAGCATTTTCAATTTCCTACATTTTAAATCCAGTAACTTTAAGTCTTTTTTTTTTTTTCCCATTCCTTTGAAGTTCTTCATAGCTTGCAAACATTTGGCTAGTTTAAATGTCAAACTTCCTCAGTGTAAAAAATTATGCAACTTTCTTAACTTCTTCAAACAGTAAATGACACTTTCACCACGTAACTATAACATCTCTTACCTGCAAAGTATATCACTTTTGCCTCTAAGTCAAACAGCTTCATAGATAGCAGACAGTGCAGGATTCTACTTGGGGCTCTGAAAAGAAAACTTGTACTCTTGTCTATCTGTAACTCGTCCTAGGTCCTGCTGTATGTTTATTCTGACACCTGTCCTTCATCACGTCACCTTGATTCTCCCCATTTTGTCCCACTCAACAGTTTGCTACTTTTTTTCCTCTGCTCTCCCCAACTCTCTCACCAGACCTAATCCAGACCCCCACATCTGTATCCCTCCTGTCATGCCATTTACCCCTGGCATAGCCAAGCCCTTTGGGCCTCTCCATCACCACACCCATTCCTAAGCCCATTTCTGTCCTCTCAGGTCACCATTTCTACTGGCATCTCTTTCCTCTGTTGTTTTTGCAGGAGCCAGTTCTATCCCTAAGAAAAAATGGAAAGGAAACTAGATACCTTGCCCCTTGTCACCTGAAGCTCCAGGAAAAGCACGGTGCATTTCTCTCAAAAGACCCTTCTATTTTTTGTTTTGATCAGAGCAAGACAATAGGGTTTCTCTCTCCTGTTCCTATCATTTCCAAGCACTATGCATGCTGTCTTATCTGATGTATACTCAAATCCATTCCACAGCCTAAGTTTCTTTTTCAGTTCCATTCTATTAATTTGATCTACTTTTTCAAGAACCGTCACAGAGGACAGAAAAGGAGACTGCAATAGGAACCTATTTTCAGGCAAAATGATTGTGTATTCAAGGAGAGAGGTCGCTTACCTGCAACTCATTTTCCCTAAAATACACTGCCTGTATTAACCTTCACACTAGGGAATACGAACAGCACAAGCCATACGTATATATCAAACAACTACTGTTCAGCACCTGGACTCATGAAAAAGCACACCTATTAGCAATCAGGCTCCGTAATTGGGCGCTAAACAGATAAAACCTAATCCAAAGAGTCATCCACGATGTGTATCACGAGATGGAAGAACCTGCAGACTACTGATCAACTCAACTTAAGCTGAACATTCTGAATTCTGAGAACAGGGATTTTGCTCCCATGTGTGTAAAACGTCCTGCAGCCAGGACAATACACCGTGCAGAAATGAAGTGGTAGAAGATATGCCCAAATATCCTCAAGCAGAAAATCTGGAAAATGACCAAATGGGGCTCTGACAACCAGCTGGCTCTGGTTAATACTGACGCTTCTTACTGACTTTTAGAATAGAGAGGTTGACCTCAATCTCAGAAGTCAGCTTGTAGGACACTTCCTATTCATGATTCAGTAGCCTGAAGCCATACAGCCCATCTGCTAGCATGCCTAGGGCCCTTGAAAGTTACTCATTAAAATTTAGATTAGCTATCAGCTTCCACTGGTTAACTATTTTCCTGAATAAAGAGGAAATTTGGCATCATTCTTCTTTGCTAACGTAAAACAAAGTGGCAGCACTCATCATCGGCTCATCATTACAGGTACACGATGGCTTTTCACATGCTAGAGGAATGTCACACACACAGACTCCTCAGTACCTGAAGAATAATGCAGCAGTACATAAACTGTGTGCTGCCAACAGTTACACACTTGAGCTAACTGCAGAAGCAAGCTTCTGAGCCAAGGAGAGGGATCACAGCTTTACCAACCTAGATAGTAAAGGTGGATGAAAGGGCTTTTTTGCCCAGTACTGGCTGACTCCAATGATTTTCTCAAGGCAAATATTATCAGGACCGAGGCACACAGACTACAAAACTCACAAGGTGTCATAAAACATAGCCAGTTGAATCCATGCACACCTTTTCTAGACAGGCTCTGAACAGATCTCTTTCTTTTAGGGGAAGGTGCTCAACAGACCAGGCTTCTTTTAGAAGAATCTACACACTGCAGTAAAGAAAACCCTCCAAGTTTTAGAACAGTCTGTGGCAGCTGTGGCATGAAACAATGCTTAGAAGTGACACCTAACACTCATCTGCTACGGTGTATCGAATTCCTGACTGCACAGCAGAAGCTTTGCAAACACCAGCGAGCACTTGAAGTTCCTGCAAGTTTACCTTAGTCAAACAGACATGAAAGCTTGAGTCTGAGCTTTCACAAAACAAGGACAGACAGACATCTGCAGTTCCAGATGCTATCTGCTGGCACACAGGACACATTTGAATAGTGGTTAGGGACAACAGTTTTGTTTCAATGCTGTTCTATTGACAGCAGAGAGCAGAAGTCTCTGATGGGCACAGTGATGCATGGTGAAACAATCAAAACTTCCTGAGACCTTCTGAGGCTGAAAGGAATCTTGGGAACGCATTCCCCCCTTGCTAAATGGCAATCGCTTTTTCTTCACAGACACTAAAATGGTACTGACACCTTCCTGTATTCTGAGAGTTTGTTCGTGCTCTAAGCAGATACTCCTGGAGGTGAATCTATCATTCCTGAAGGAGAGAGAGTCTAATTTAACATAAACAGATCTTCTTTTAGGCAGGAACACAACTTTCATGCAAACAGAAACATCTGATTGGTCACAACTGCTGTCCGTAAATCAAAAAACATGTCCACAGGCAACTAAAAAAAACTCACCGAAGAAGGAAAAACTGAAAACATGCAATGCCTTTGCCAGGATAACTTGGCGTTTCAGGACTATGAAAGTCAAAGTTCCACCAGAAGAAAACTTCATAGCACAAAAGGAGGAAAAAGGCCACAAAGATCTGAGAAGAAATTGCAATTCTGCCAGGCTGAAAACATCACAGAAACAAGCCTTCCTCTACTTCCCTCCATTTCCCTGGCTTGCTGTGAAAGCCAAACCTGGGGAAACAGATTACGATTTAACACTGTCAATACTTCTAGTAACAGTATCTGCTGAAATACCCCAGGATTGCTCTGGAAAGCGATCTGGGAAGAACAAAACGTACTCTTTAAGGGAGGGGACACATATATACACACACACACGTGTGTTCTTTTCAATTATGACTCAAAGTACTCTAAATGTGTGCTACAGCAGAATGTTACTCCCATCTTGTGAGGTGAGCAGAGAAGTACGTCATCTGCTGCTGGGGAATCCACACATCTCCCCCAGCAAAACGGCAAGGATAAAAACAGCTGCTGAAAGAGCAATGCCTGCGTAAACAGTATGTGTGACTGGAATACCCAAAACTGACTGAGAGGAGGGCTGAGGAGGAAGATGACCCTTCTGCCTGATTAAACAGGGGGCTGACGGGAAGCAAAAAAGATGCCTGAACACCTGTAACTGTGGGGAGAAAGAAGAGGCACCAGAGCAGCAGTCAAAACCTGGTCTGATGCTGTCAAAAGTCACCCCACCAGCAGCACGTCTCTGCCTAGGCCAGCCAGAGCTGCCTCCTGGCCAGAAGAAGCAATTGAACACATTGTGGATGTTTTTCAGAAACTCGAGTGCTTTACATTTGTGTGTGTATAATATTTATATATATGTGTATAGACTCTTGCTTTTCTAGCAACCATGCCCAGCAAGGACAGACATCGTGGGGAGCGACATCTACACCCCACATCTTGGTGTGCATGCATGACCTTCCTACCAGCACGCACGTTAACGGGCTGTGGGGACACAGAAGCTGGAGCACCCACGTCTCCCCCAGGAGGTGTGTGCGGCGGAGGCACCCGCATCCCCAGGGGAGGTGTGTGTGCTTGCAGCCCCCACCTCCCAGGGGGCCACAGGCATGTAACTGCGTGAATGGGTCTGTGGGGCATGAACTTATCTGAAAGCATACTCCTGTTTCAAAAGCTGTATATAAATTTTAACACTATTTTAAGGCTTGATTACTTCTCATTTCTCTTGAAGGACTGTAGAACACAGCTTATTTTAATTACACGATACACTACTGCAACTGACAGCTAAAATAATAGCTTCCCCAGTCATTAGGAAACAAGACTTTATTATCGGAGGTGAAAAAAAAAAAATAATCACAAAAATGCCACTAGAGTATGCACTGCTCTTTCCAGATAACCCAGAATTGATGAACATGCTCATGATGCCAGTGTATTTTGATGTATGGCTGTTTTGTTCTTTGGTTCTCATATTCTTAAGAAGTTTAATTAGCACCACATAATATATGACCCAGCTAAATGTACTGCCATGAAACACAAAAGTTTAGGTCATATTTCTAAAAACTTTACTACGAAGACCACATGTAGCTGTAAGCAGACCTACCGGTTTACTGAAATAAGGACTACAAAGAAGATCCTTTGGGAATGAGAACCTCAAATTCAGTTTTATATTTCTTTCATGATTTCATTTTGAAATGTCACTCTGAAAGAGTTATTTCTTTTTAAAAGCACTCTTTTCAAAATTACCTTAAAAGGAATTTTCAAATATCTTTTCATTGCATTTGTTTACAGTACAAGCTAGTACATCAGCTGCTTCTACTTATCAAAATTCAGGGAGTGAGCAGAGTAGGCTTGTAAGCAAAGGATTATTGATAAAGTTTGAGGAAAAAAAATTATTTATTTTTATATATGTATATATTATATAAAGAAACATAATTCATCCCGCCCAAACGGTAGTAGTAAAGAGGTGACACTTCGGGTTGTGGTTTGTTGGGGTTTTTTAGTATGTTTTTGATAAAATAAGGTAATTATTTGTTACTTAAGTTTGCCTCCATCTTCACCATTGGTACATGAACTACAAACTAGTCTGCACACAGAAAGTTATGTCCGTGAGCCATGGCTGACTGCTAGAACTATTATCTATTCTCTTAGACTCCAGAAGGACTTCCTCTGGTTGGAACAAAGCAGAGTACAAAGAACAGGTATTATAAGAACACACAAGTTTAAAGATCATTACATTTAGATTTGTGGCTTCACTCAAAGTTGATTCTTAGAACAAGAATTGAAATCACTATCTGAGATCTCATCTCTTGAGAGCACATTAATGGTTGCTAGAAAAGCAAGAGTCTATACGCATATATATAAATATCATACACACACAAATGTAAAGCACTTGAGTTTCTGAAAAACATCCACAATGTGTTCAATTGCTTCTTCTGTCCAGAGAGATTCAGAATGGCCAGCCAATGACTTTTATTATTTCTCCTATAGCAGAATATAAATAGCTTCAACTTGGAAACTGCTTCAATTGAATTCAAAGCATTTAAGCAGCAACTTCTGCTAATACATTCATTCAAAAGACATTGTTACTCTAAGATCATAATTTCCAAATCTTTAGCTAAGAAAAATCCAGCAACATTGAATGTTTTTCTTGCATTAAGTGCGCTTATCCTCCTTAACCCTTGTTTTATTATTATTATTACTACTACTAGACACAAGGAAAAAAAATATACAGTTCTCACAGGTGGGGTTTTTTATTTATTTTTCTAAAGAACAGATTTTGTTTTATCATCTCATTTTCTGATAATGAGGTCTCTAGGGCTTCCACCTTACACAAATGTAGAAGTTAAGAAGATACAGACTAAGAATTCTGATTTGCACTACTGAACGTAATCTACCCCTTCCCTCTTTGTGCCTGTTTAGCTACAGGTAAGAGCTAGTATTCCCAGAAAGGATTTCAAAATGGCTACTTTTAAATTTGGAATTCTTTAATAAATAAATTCTTCCGCTATTTCAGTCTGAGACCAAATGGCTCTACTTGCTGCCTTGAGAACAACTTTCACCTAAAATGGTAACAAAGTATATTCTTTACAAGTGCTGAACTGCTGGTCTCAATACAAATACAGCAGCCTCTTTTGCTACCTCAAGGAATTCCATTTCTCTCCAGAAGACCTTTTGGGAGATAGAAAACTAGACCTACTTGCCCCACAATATAGAAACAGTAATTTTAATGTATCTTTTTTTTTTTTTCCTTCTGTGTGATACTTCACAGCAACAGTTCTAAGTCCCTTCCATACCATATTCCCATATTCAGCCAGAAGAAAGTGACAAGGCTCATCTACTCATAAAAATGGAATTGATCACAATTTTCACAAGCTGAAAACACGTGCTCAAAGGTTAGCAAACACATGCACTGTTACTACATGCTTTTGGTTATTCTTTTGTAGGAAATTCTCATAACCAATTTTCTCTGTTGAATCATACACTGACAGTAAAACAAAATACATGTACAAATACACCACCTCTGGCTCTGGACAAATCTTTGAACCATGACTAGCCAAAGATAGTGAAACTCTGGAAAACTGTCACTGTGTACTTTTCCTGCTCTTTCCACACTTCTCCAGTGATCTGCTGTTAGCCGATGTCAGAGGCAGGAAACTAAGCAAGACAAATCTTTGGACTGACTTGATCCAGCTATTATGACTTCCATTTGCAGGCAAGTTGGAAAAAAAAATATGATCTGCTTATCCTTTCATCGATGGCTTCAACTTTTTCAAGACAATTAACATGAGGAATTAATTTCAGAGAGAAGTCTTCTTACATTTTCCAAGAAAATGAAGCAAAAGCACATCCAAAAGCAAGACCACAGACAACTTTTAACTTATTTTCTTGGTTTGTCACTTTCCTTCATATTTTCAAAAGCTGCCTATTAATTCTGAGTGCTCACTGTCACAGGATTTGACTTATATTAGATTCATTTCACTTGAACGAGCACTTGAACAGTTTGAACAAACTGTAATCAAACTACCCTTTTACAGTTACCAGCTTTGGAAACTAGGAGGCGGAAAAAGACCTAGAAATCTCTGCATTTCATCTCATTAATGTAAGACTGCCTGTGATCCAGTGGTCAAAACAAACATCCACGTCACACCACACCCTTTCTCCAAAAGCTGCCAACAGACAACGGTTGGGAAAAATACGACAACAGGGCAAGTATTTTAGTGATATAGCTGCAGAATATTCTCTCATCCTTCACCACTTCAATGCTCAGGAACTTACTGAGCTAGCAGCCCTTAGTATTTAAGAGCCATCGATGACTTTTCTTCTATGAATTTGTCCAGTTATTTTTTTTTTAACTCACAAACTTTTAGCTGCTGCAGTGTCCTCTGACATGGAAATCAACAGGTTGCTGCTCTTAGCATCAACCCTAGAGTCCCGTATTCACCAATTTCAAACATGTTAAGTGATTGAGTCTTTAAACTTAAATGTAATGCATATATATACTTAAAAATCCCCACGCAGCTACACTGTGTTTCGCACGTATCAAATGCAAGCGAACATACTTAACAGTTCCTCAGTGATACAAATACAATCCAGATCACTATCACGAACTTGGTATTCTCCCTTAACAAGATACACACAAGTCATCTGAAGTCTAAATCTAAACTATATCTGAGACACTTAATATGGACCAACATTTCACTTCAGAATTACCTAAGGCAGGTAGGTAGGACATTTTTTTCCTTACTAAATTACTTACTGATTTTCTCAAAATCTTTACTGATTTCGTTACTAAAGCAGAAGGTCTAAACCTACTAAAGATAATATTAATAACATCCAAATGTCACACTTTATTATACACCTCCGAAAACATGACTTGTATTTTCTATTTACCATATTCTGACCCCTGTAACTGAACTAATAACAATGCAACAGCCTTTATGGCATAACTACTCAGAGCATTCAGATTTATTATCTTTTTAATATCAGCCAACTGATAACAAAAGGGCTTGCCCTAAAAATAGCAAAAGGTCATTTTCCCACGACCACCTTGTCAATACACATGACATGTCAACACTGTGAATCAACTCACCTGCACTTAAAATACTGTGTTCCTTCATAGGTACCATCATGCTTTCCCCTCTGAGGATCATCCCATTCCACACCAAGCCAAATTCCTGAAAAATATGGTAGATACATTTTGAAATTTATGACAACATAGCCGTAGAAATCACGTTTGGAAGGAACCTCTGAAGTTTGTCTAGCCTAACCTTCTCTGTCAAAGCACGAGATTGTCACCAGCACTAAAGCAGGTTAGCCAGGTAAGCCTTTACCTAGCCAGATCTTGAAAATCTCCAAGGAAAGAAAGATTCCAACCTATCTGGGCAGCCTATTCCATTGCTGCATTACTTCTGTGGAGAAAAAGATTTTCCTGCTGTCCAATTCAAACCTTTCCAGCCACAATTTGTGGCCATCGTCCCTTCTTATATATTCTCAATACTAGTAAGCAGAATTTGGTTCTGTCATCTTGGTAACCATCTGTCAAAATTAGGTGCCACTTAACCACACTAACCAAGCCCAGATCCTTTAACCTCTCTTCACAACACACGCACGTGGTCTATGCCCTTGAGCACCTTTGCAGACCTCCACCAGATCCTCTCGATTTTATCCACATCCCCCTTGAACTGGGGTGGTCCCAAACCAGATACGTCATCCCAAGTGCAACCTTATCAAGAACCCCTGGCCCCAGAAGGGGATAACAGCTTCCTTCGATTTGTTGGCCATGTTCTAAGCCAAGCCAGAACAACACATATCTCACTTATGACAAGAGCTCACTGTTGGCTCCTACTCATGACAGTATCCACCCTAACTCCCAAGTCCTTTACAAGAGACCCTGTGGGTTGTTAGTGCTTCCTGATCTGTACTGACACACAGGTTTATTTCACACTACATGTGGAAATTTAGCCTTCTTGAATCCATTAGGCCCAAACCTAAAGTTCATAAAACTTCCTCTGAATTATTCTACCTTTTGTCACATCAGCCAATCGAGAGTGAACGCTGTTCATTATCCAAAACACCGCTGAATACAGACCCCAGCACTTATTTCTGTAGTACTCACGCGCTACCAGATATCAAGTCATTGACTATCACTGTTCCACTTGACAGACCTGCAGACTTTCAACCCACTTAACAGTCCATTCATCTGGCTTGTATTTCCCCAGCTTCCAAATAAAATTCTTTAGAGACACTGTTAAAAGACTTATTAAAGCCAAGGAATATTACATCCCCCATTCTCCCTTTGTCCACATTCCCACTCATATCATCACAGGTTACTTTTTAGGTAATTAGGTTTGCCAAGCACAGTTTTCTCCCTTTTACAAGCATCAAGTATTCCCAACTACCATCTTGTCCTTCATAGGCTTGTAAATGGGACTCCAAGGGAACATCCTACATGATCTTTCCAGGAACTGAAGTGAGGTCAATAAGTCTGCAGTTCCCTGGTCACCCTTCTTGCCTCTTCTGGAACTGTATGCTAATCTCCTTCCAAGCATCAGCAAGCTCCCCATCCTGTCACCACAGTTTTTCATATATGATGCTCTCACAATCAGACTGGTCAGGTCTTTCAGCAAGCTGGACTGAATCTTATTTGTCTCCATGAATTTGAACACATTATCAAAGGAGTGCCTAGTCTGTTGATTTGCTACTGATACCTATCACTCCTTCCCAGGCTATGCCAGTACACAGAGATCAGGGAATAGACTGAAAAGCAATGGAAAAAAGGAAGGCACTAAGATTTTTCTGCTGTAAGAAAAAATGTAACCAATTTCAACCAAAAGTACTTCTTACACTCCTTTTGACACCTCTGACTACTAAAAAAACCCCCAACAACTTATCTAGATTAGAAGTTGCCATATTTACACAAGAACAATGAGGAAAAAACAATTTGTAAATTACCACATTCTACTTAACGATTTTTTTAAACTTGAGAAGAACATAATTAGAATTTTGAAACAACCACTAAACATAGAGGTGATTTACAACGGTGATGTTTACCTGCTGTAGGAGGAACACTGCCAACATAGCGCACAGTCGCATACTCCGTGCCACACAAGATTCTTTGACCCAGTGCGTCAGAAGGCACCAAGGCAGTCATCCTGGGAGAACCGACGTCTGAACCACGCACAGGCCTGCGGAGGCAGAAGCAACACCCTTAACACGCACCAGCCACTGCTTCCACAAGCCCCCTGCCTTGGGCTCGTTCTCATCACCGCCCAGCACCACGCCGGGTCCCCGAAGCTGAGGTTTGCCCTCCCACACGCCCCCAGGACTCCCGCTGCCGCTTAGGAAGCGACCCCCGTGAC